TACGTCGTAACTATATATATATATATATATATATATATATATATATATATATATATATATATATATATATATATATATATAGCAAGAGGCAAGAGGCTAGCCCTCGCAACTGGGCAAAAAAAATAGTATAAGATAAGAACAGATACATTTCAAGCACATTAAGAAAAGTTGCAAAGGCGCTATTGTCTTATGCAAATGTGTTATGCTATCATTAGAAACCCAACTAACAAAACAATGTCTTGAAGTAATAATATGATTATAAAAAAATTCAATACATACTGCTTGCTTGTCCGTTGATGCTGATGTACGATCTGTCATACTTGTCAGTAGTGTTTGGATAACCGGGATCTTTAGATGCAAACGACCGTGCCCACACGGTGAAACCTTTCACTGTGTTGAAATGGGGGAAACACCTCTGTTAGTAACTTAGGAAATCGAATGATTCAGACTTTAGGAAATACCTCTCTAACGGTCCATTTCCACTGGCTCTTCTACAGCGCTAGTTACCATGGTGACAGACGCCTGGTTCAAGTCATTAAACTGATTTGTTTGTCAAGTCACACTTTTAAGTCAAGTCACATGTCAAAGAAGGTGACGTAAAATACGTCACGTCCAACCTACAGCAAACTATCTTTAAAACACGTCACTATCTTTAAAACACGTCACGTGGAACGTAATATACGTGACGTCCCACATAGACCTGTGAAATGCTGAGATGTGTGACGTGTAGCATCAGAACTGTCGATTTGTATTGTACTTATATTGTATTGCTTAATTATGTATTGATTGAATTTGTATGTACTTTGTATGTTTATTGCTATTGTAAATATTGAATTGAATTTGTATGCATTAAGTGATATTGTATTTAAGTTATACTGTACTTTATTTATGCATTTATGTGTTAGTGGTAGCCGCTACCATCCTTGTTGCTGCCTGGTTGCCACTTGTTATGCACTGTTGCATTTAGATAAACCAACAAACAAACTGTGAGAAACTCGGACCCTCCAACTCACCTGCAGGAGTAGTAGTAGTAGGAGCAGTCTGAGTAGGGGGTCCTGACAGACATCCGAAGAAGTCTATACAGTATATAGACTGGTTTATTTGCAGAAACACATACTTCATACATACATAGTACAGTAGGTTAGAAGCTTTTTGCAGCCAAAGGCTGAATTGAGAAGCTTTTACAAGTTTTTAAGAACTACATGACTAATACATAATGTATATACATAAAAAGTGCCTTGAGAGGCATTAAACACCACTTATGCGCTAGAATAATGCACATTTATGCTAAAATTAGATCATACAACTTCTGTTGGCAAATTACTTAAGTACAACTGACAATAATAAAAAGTACAATTACATCATGTGCAACAACATAAAATGAAATCTACTGTATGGCAAGGTTATTCAGTATGTTCAGCATTGTGGGGACAGGACTGCATAAATATCTTTTTGTCCCAATGGGTGGTTTGTAGCGCCGTGTTTGCCTTAGCTGCATGTTGTCTGTTGGTTTGACAAACATTCATGCATTTATTCTTCAACGCTTCTTTGGAATTTTGTTTACAAATGAAAGTATTTACAGCCAAAACCCTGACAGACCGGGATGCAAACTTTATTTACCTGAACGTTTTCCAAGGATGAGTACAGTGTTGGCCTCTGAGTTCCTCTTGGGTCTGTGGTGCACCTCCTCACTTTTCCAAAAGGTGGCGCTGTCATCACGTCGCCAGTCTTCAGTTGAGCCAGCTGGGCCCTATAAGGCAATTATCTTTCATTTATAGTAAACAACTGCAGCCACAAGGTTTGCAATAGGCTATACTGTAGTATGATAAAACACAATCACATAAAACTACTTTACTCATGAGGAAAATTCACTTGTTTGTAATTCAGAGCACTATTATTCATTACAACTCTGAGCTTTTATTACATACGTGTATGAATGGTGCTCATAAACTGTAGCATGACTGTTGACCCTTTAATCTCTTGAAAAACAACAACAGAAATCTACGACTGATGCCGCCTCTGGTTACGGTCGGAAAAAAGGGACAAAATCATCCTTACCTTGTCCTTAGCCTCTCGCTTCTCTTGCTTCAACTGCATCAGAAGCACCTGATCCCTCAGGCCTTGCAGATCTGTCTGGAACGCCGTTTGCTGGTCCTGCATGGAAGCGATCTCCTGCACCTTGATCAGGGCAACGACACTCACCACAGCCGCGAGTCCTGACAGCGCCAGGGCGATTCCATTGGTCCAGCGGTTTCCATGGCGACCTACAGAACCTTCCGGAGCTGCCTTATTGTTTGGGGACGACTTCTTGGACGACATCTTCGAGTCACCTTGAGGAAAATTATAAGATAAGATAACATGATTTTCAATCAGCACCCCGCCCAATCAACCCTTTCGAGACTCAGCCAAATTGTTCTTAAGATAATAAACTGTTGCAGTTCGGAAAGTAATCTGTGCCGGGGACCTATTCTTCAGGCAGATCCTAGGGTGGCAAAATACAGTATCCATTGGCCAGAGAGGGTCCAATACGCCTCTCTGGCCAATGGATACTGTCTTTCGCCACTCTTGGATCTGCTTGGAGATTATCGGGGACCCTCGCTTGCGTTCTGCTATCACCAGGAGAAACCGATAGGACAGCCCTGGTCCCAAAATCTGGCCCTGCGTACACAGACGCAAACGGGGCCTATCCACACAGTGTCGCGACTTGTGCTACAACTATACAAAATGCCTAAATCTGATTGAGACAGGAAGAGCTTTTCACTACTTCAGTAACAAAGTATTTGTACGCAGTTTGTACATTTTTTTTCTTTGATAGAACGCAAAAATACTGTCAGCTAGAAGGTCTGACGCATAATTATTTAGAGGAAGTGGAATTCGTACGATATATCAAGTACAGTAAAGGTAACGGCTAGACGAATGAAAACAAGTAACGTTAAAGGTTTCCACTCACCGATGTAGTAGTGCCCAGACGCGGCGTCAGCTCAAACACTGCTGGTTTTCAAAATGCAGTTCATGACCGTGGGACAGGTGAATATATGGTTTAAATCTCCATTGAAGACCAGTAAGTAACTTAACATGTTGTCAAGGAGAAAAATGCCCCCGGGAAAGTAACAAAAACAATTCTATAACAAAATCACTCTGGTCAAAGAGCCCTTAAATGAGAAAACCTTTCGTTAAAAACATGTTTGGAATATTTTTTCACAGCAGGTATACCAAAGCATATGTCTACATAAAAGTGCTAGTGTACATGTACGCCATATGTTTTCAAGATAGCTCTTCAGTCACCTTTCAACTACATTTTGCCATTCATTTCGCAACTTGCGAAACGCGATAGGTTCATATGGGAGTTTTATATTCATGATTTCCCTGCCTTTATACTTGACCGTGAGGCTGACCTCAACAACCTAAACATCTTGGTTTTCAAAATGTAGTTTATGGCCGTGGGACAGGTGAATAAATGGTTTAAATCTCCATTGAAGACCAGTAAGTAACTTAACATGTTGTCAAGGAGAAAAATACCGCCGGAAAAATAACAAAAACAATTCTATAACACAATCACTCTGGTCAGAGAACTGGTGAGAAAATCTTTCGTTAAAAGACATTTTTGGAATGTTTTTTTCACAACAGGTACACCAAAGCATGTATACATAAAGAGTACTAGGAGGACGTTACATCATTGAATAATCCCACATTTTTCAAGGTTACTCTTGAGTCACCTTTCAACAGCATTTAAACCATCTTAGCGGCAGCATACTTAAGAGGCAAATAAAGGTAGATAAAGTAATGAAAACCAAGCAGATGTCAGGAGGGTAGTAACTTTTTCGGCAATCTTCTGCGGTTAAATTAATGTGTGTGCATGTATGTATGTGTGTGTGTGTGTGTGTGTGTGTGTGTGTGTGTGTGTGTGTGTGTGTGTGTGTGTGTGTGTGTGTGTGTGTGTGTGTGTGTGTGTGTGTGTGTGTGTGTGTGTGTGTATGTGTGTGTGTGTGTGTGTTTGTTTTTACGTAGTGGAAAATAATTATGAGATGAACACACTACTGCAGGATTTGAAGCACCAGATATTCAAAACTAACATCACAAATGTTGGAAGTTAATACGCAAAACGTCTAGTATGCAATTGGACATAATTCAAATTAGTATTTCAATTGATGTAAAGAAGGTACGTGAATTTATTTTGTATAAATGGTACATTTTTCAGACATGATATTTGTTTAGTGAACACTGAAATGGCAGAAATATTGGCAAAAAAGCTTTTTATTCAGCCGCTCGTACAAGCCGTTCTAGGAATGCTTACCTCAAAATAATAGACACAAGACTAAAACGGTTCTTTCTTTATTGATACCCGGTATTTTGGTAGTCAGAAATAGTCTCAAGGTCAAGAACAAGAGCAGGAAATACCTAGAGTAAAACCCCATAAGAGCCCATCGCGTTTCCCCATTTGCGAAATGGCCAAATCTGGGAATGAGCGAGGCTTCTTTAGCGAGATACGGGCCTTTCTGAAACGGGGACTCGAAAACGGGGGTGTGATAGGGGATGAATTTCCGCTTTTTCAATTTTAGAAAAATAAAACTTTTGTCATCTTTCGGCCTCATTCTTTCCAGAGTATACTCCCAATGATCTCCACTATATTCCTACTTATTGCCTCCCAAGAAATTTTCTTCGTTCTCGAGTTATACGTCAAAACGTGATTTTGCGATCAGCTGATCGCTTGCAGAAGTGGCCAAAACCTTTGCAGAAGTGGAGTTTTCGCTGCCGGAGACATTACCATATGAATGAAAACCAAGCAGATGTCAGGGGGAAATCGTAACTGGTGCTGGAGGATTGTTACTGTATACGCTCCCTTCTTTCAGAAACCTGATGATACAAGTAATAAGAAGGAAGGTGGGAGGTAGTGTGTGTCTAAAAACGTGTCCTCCCGGGCGACTTTTTCGGAAGTCGCGGCGTTTGGAACCGCCACACGACGGGCACAACAACCTTCCGTCTATCGCCTTCTTTCTTATAGAAAATTAACGGTGATAAAATGATAATTACAAGGATGATAATATTGAAACAAGATTTTGTCTATCATCACATTTTCTTCATGTGACATGACTGTTATCTAGTGCGTGAAATTGAGTCCTCATATCTGCTTGGAGACTACAGATAAGGTAAAAGTTTCAATTTTTCCTCCTGACATCTGCTTGGTTTTCATTCATATGGTAATGTTTCCGACAGAGAAAACTCCACTTCTGCAAAGACTTTGCCCAGTTCTGCAAGCGATCAGCTGATCTCAAAATCACGTTTTGAGGTATAACTCGAGAATAAAGCAAATTTGATGGAAGGCATTAAGCAGGAATGTAAAAGAGATCATTAGGGGTATACTCTAAAGAGAAGGGCTCCGAAAAATGTCAAAAGTTTCATTTTTCTAAAAGTGAAAAAGCAGAAATTCATCCCCTATCACACCCCCGTTTTCGAGCGCCCGTTCCGAAAAGGCCCGTATCTCGCTAACGAAGCCTCGCTCATTCCCAGATTTGGCCATTTCGCGAGTGGGGAAACTCGATGGGCTCTTATGGGGGTTTTACTCCAGGTTTTACTTGCTCTTGTTCTTGACCTTGAGGCTCTCCCCGACTATTTAAACATTACTGACTTATCAAGGAAGAACCGTTTTAGTCTTGCATCTGTTCATTTTGAGGCAGAAATTGTTAGAACGACTTTTACGAGCAGTTTAATATGTAGCTTTTTTTAGTCAAAATTTCTGCCATTTTTGTCACACATACATATTCTAAAAGACTAACATATCGAAGTTTAAATTGAATTCGTGAAACAAGATGAGGAACTTAAAGAAACACAACAATGTTTTTGTTCGTCTATTAACAGATCCTATTTTTCCTCGAAATCCTGTCATATTTCCTTTATATAATGGTGCATTGTTTTATCTTTTAATCCTAGTAGCACAACTGCCCAATATATTTAATATGCACACACACAAACGAGACACAAATCTTCATATTTGTTTCAAACAGATTTTAATATAACAGAAAACAAGATTCAACAAACAGGTATATCAGCCTTTTGACATTTCACAGAAATGCATGATTTTAGATAAAACTAGAAACATGAAGCTTTTGTAATCAAACAAGAGACGAATAGGGATAGTTCAGTGTGCGAGTGTCTGGCTGGGATGTAGATGTCGTTGTCGCTGGTAACAGTCATGGTGACGACAGGAGGAAGGTCTGCTGGGTAACCACAGCGGATGTACTGCCCGACTCTGGGGTTCATACACAACATCTCTCTCTTCCTATGGAGGAAAATAAACATTGTTACAGTAAAAAAAAAAAGTCTATTTTCATGATGCTTTAATTGGCTACAGTTTTTTTTTCAAAACCACACCAACTGTTGTACACTGGTTTATAAGGGGAGTCAGCTGAAATCCAATGAATTACTAGTACATGTGAATAGAATTCTGTCAATAGAATAGAATAGAATAGAATAGAATAGAATAGAATAGAATAGAATAGAATAGAATAGAAAAGAATAGAATAGAATCTGTAAAGAGAAATATTGTCTCTGATAGTAGTACTCTATTAAAAAGAGAAAATTCCCATATGTTCAGAAAGAAGTGAGCTACATTCATCGAAAGGCAGATCTATAAGAAACCGAATATGGCAGTGGATGTGACATTTTCATCATGAGAATGTGCTATATACTAGATATACTAGTAACGTTAGCAGCTTCAAAGCCTGGATAGTGAGTGTGAGTGAGTGTGTGAGTGGGTAAGTGAATGAGTGAGTGGGTGAGTGAGTGAGTGAGTGAGTGAGTGAGTGAGTGAGTGAGTGAGTGAGTGAGTGAGTGAGTGAGTGAGTGAGTGAGTGAGTGGGTAAGTAAATGAGTGAGTGAGTTGGTGAGTGAGTGAGTGGGTAAGTGACTGAGTGAGTGAGTGAGTGAGCGAGTAAGTGAGTGAGTGAGGTGAGTGAGAGTGATTGGGTAAGTGAATGAGAGTGAGTGAGTGAGTGAGTGAGTGAGTGAGTGAGTGAGTGAGTGAGTGAGTGAGTGAGTGAGTGAGTGAGCAAAGTGAGTGAGCGAGCGAGTGAAGTGAGTGGAGTGAGTGAGCGAGCGAGTGAAGTGAGTGAGTGAGTGAGTGAGTAAGTTACCCACCTGTCCTCCCTGCTGTGCTGCACCCATCTCACCACAGCCTCCCACACTCTTGTCTCCTCTTTAACCTCCAGCTCATCATGGCTGATGATCTCAGTCAGCTGATCCACACTCAGAACTCTTCATTGATTGAAACCTGGAGGGGATAGATGGATGGATGGATGGATGGATGGATGGATGGATGGATG